ACCTATCCTACCTTTATGATCATATTCGCTATTCATCGTAACTAGTGCTTTATTGATCTTCTTAACTTTCCCCTAGCGAAAGTTTCCTGCCTCTAGTTGTTTGAATAAAAAGGTGAAAATGGGCTGCTTTTAAGAGATGACGTACTGAGCTATTGCGACGATTGATCATGGCTTGATTACATTGCACCCCTGGTGCTACGGTTTTCCCCGTAACTCACGGCAGTAATAACTTCATTTCTGCGTCCCCAAATAGACCTGTCGTTGAGGAAATTTCCCTTTCTGTGAAGGCTTAACCGATAGGTAACTAACGGATATTGAAGCAGCTTCCTACACTTTTCAGGCAATCAACTCCCCTGTTGCCTTATATTACCTCTTTCCCAATTTATTGCAGTGTTGAACTCACGTGGCGATCATGTCTGCTGTAAATTTATCGCCGTATAACCCTCAAAATGCTGAACAACGTCGATCATTCCCGCTTCTTAACGTTTACTTTAGCATCCTGAAGAAACAGCATCCTTCACATTCTGGGAAAATTTGCATTGATTCCTCTGATATAATTTGCTTGGCAACAAAGTTTATAACATTGTAATGTTTTTGTTGTGGTAGCATATCGTGAGAACTCGCTGAAGACCACAAATTGGCCCATCCATGTATGTAGCGGCAGTATTGTTTACTTCGAAAGTAATTGTTTCGCATTGTGACGCTTCTAATTAATTCTGTCGATAGGTTTTCATTTTTTCACAATGGATTAATGACATTTATCGTGTCTCCAATAGAAACGGGGAACTACACTTTGAGCTTACCACTTAGGGTTTTATTAGAACCATCAAACCCTATTAATCGTGTCATACCCTTTGTGTCAAACTTTCAGCCAATCAAATTTAAGGAAACTCCACCTACATGCGGCTGTCCGTTCACCAATAAAGTGATGTGCTGCGTTGCGGCAACCGCTGTGGGTTTTGCTGTAGCAGACGTTGAAAGTACATTGGGTGTCGTAAAGTGGACTTCACCGTACTGGACAGAGTGGATGGATCGAGTCCGTTTCGCGCTATGGAGTGGATTATCCTAGATGTTTTGAGTTTTTATCGTCACATGTTGCAGTGTCCTAATGTGTGCATGTTAATATTTCATTCATGCATAATTTACTTCATTTACTCGTTTGGCCATCGTCATTATGTGGCATAATATGTTTGTTTTCAATTACAAAATGACGGTGCTGCGGCGCGCCAGTGGTCGTCAGAAACGTTCCCTGGATGGCCAGAGTCGACGAAGCGGATGCAGTTCTGAATTGAATGGATGATTGATGATGACACTTTCGCGTGGTAGAGTGGATTAAAATAGCTTTAGTAATCTTGAATCTGTGAATTCAGCCAGTAGGCCGCTTTTGTTCTTGTGTCTGTTATGATTACATGTATTGTAATAGTTCTTTGCTTTGGTTTTGATATGTATTTAGCAGTAAAATCGCTGGATTTCTTACATTCTATACTTAACTCCTGTCGCTGGTCAAAGTGTCGGCCAGATACAACTCCATGGTCACGTACGCGCTTGACACTGTGCATTTTTTTGTTTGAGCGCCAAACGCTTTGACCTTTAAGTTAAACTGCTCTTTTACTATTAAAATGTTAAAACAATTGCTGTGGCTCTAAAAGTTGTTGAGTTATTGCTCTTGACCTTTAACGCTTTGGACCGAAGTTGTAACATCATTGTGTAAAGCGGGGACATTTTTTTGGAGTAGTCAGCTAAGAAGCGAGTAGCAAGCCGTTCGTTCACCTGTGAACGATAGAGACAGCGTGGTGCACTGGTGTGGATATATCAGAATGCCAGAATGAGGATGGATTAATTATTAAGCTGATGAGGATGGATTGACTATTTAAAATCCTTTATAGATTCAGTCAAGCAGTCTGCTCTGGCAATGAGATCGCCGCCTGCTCCGACCTCTCACCCTCTGCGAAATGTCTAATGAACCAGTAGAAAGCGAAGGTGGATTAATGTTAAAAGATGGCAGCTGCATTATTGAGTATCCTGGTTTCTTGCCAAATCTCGATTACAGTTTATTCACTGTGTGCAACAGTGGACGAATAATGATTGCCCTCTGCATTATACTCAGTCTTCGCAAAAGTAATTAGAGTGATACTCGAGGCGACCATGAAATTTAACCCAACCCATATTGTTAACGAAAAGCAAATGAAGCGAATCTTATGATGAAATTCTGAATGACCGCATAAAAACACCTGCAATGCTAGTATCCTACATGCAGAGACAAAAACTAAATAAGCGGTCTAAAACTTATTTGCCCTAAACCTAATTGTACATTCTAAATCGTTGCAGTCGTTGTTATAGCTTCCATGGTTGCGTTTAAAAGCTCATTCTAGGGGTAACATGATAAGTGCATTTTGTTGATCTAAATCGTTCAGCGTAATAGCGCATTAAATAATACCAATATGACCTCACGAAGGAAAAGAAGACATTTCGGCTTAAAATTTTAAAAAAAATCTCGGCAGGGAGAAAATATACCAACAACACTGGGGATTTCCAAGCCGTCTCCGATTTAAGTACTAACCCAGTCC